TGCTGATCTGAATAAAAGCATAGAGCTTCTCTGCCCACTCCCTACCGCCCATCCATCACCACCATTCTGACTCCTTAGTCACAATGGGTATTGACATTTTAAACAAATCCCAAGGCTCCTTTCCAGTAAAATGTGTGAAGATAAAGAAGATAATATTTATAAACTATTTTGAGTTCCTTAGAAGAAGGGTATCTTACCTCATTAAGGAAATATTATCATGATATAAATCTAGCATCATGAAATTTATCTCGGACATATCAAATTTGGTCTGAGAATCAAATGTAAAGGAAAATAAAAGCCACACAGAGTACCCGCATGGAAACACAGCCTGCTTTGGTTGTGTTCCTTTTTGTGGAGGCAGATGCCCCGCTTCACTAGGACCAGGGTAGAGATGAAGAGGGTTGATTTGGACACTGGGGTGCTATATGTTCTTTTGGGACTGAAGTTCCGTATTAGGAAACTTAACAGCTGACATTTACATAACTTTTAAACATCCCGAGTAGTACGCTCTGTCTGCACACTAACTTATATATATGCAACTTGTTTGTTTGTTTTGAAACAGGGTCTCACTTTGTCACCCAAGCTGGAGTGCAGCAAGCATGAACACAGTGCACTGTAGCCTCAACGTCCCAGGCTCAAGCAATCCTCCCACCTCAGTTCCCCGTGTAGCTGGGCCTGCAGGCACACACCACCATACCTGGCTAATATTTGTATTCTTTGCAGAGACTGGATTTCAACATGTTGCCCAGGCTGGTCTCGAACTCCTGAGCTCAAGTGATCCACCTGCTTTGGCCTCCCAAAGTGTTGGGATTAGAGGCGTGAGCCACTGAGCTCAGCCATATGCATTTTTTAAAAATTATGAACTTACATAATTTCACAGGAGACAGACCTAAATGAGGTAGTTATTAAACTACTTTGTTACTATGGAAAGGATTTCTGATCCTTGTAGTATATTTCCACATATATTGTTACATTGTTGTGTGTTTGTATTTAGTTGCTCATACTATTTTCTACTATAGCTTACTTTGTATGAAGGTTTCCATGGGTCAACCTAATTTATATTTTTGTCATTTTAAATGGAAAAACGATATCCCATGTATTTTATACTATTATTTGTTCAGTGTTCTTTCTGATGTGGGATGCTTTGGTTATTTCCAATTATTTGCTATCATGCTATTAGATACAGAGTTCTGATGTTCATTTTTGCTCAAAATTATATTTTTGTTTGTATGAATTCCACAGTGTATATTCCCCAAAGCAAGATAGTTAAAGAGTAACAACAGTTTTATAGTTCTGATTGCATATTACAGTATTACTTTTCAGAGACACAGAGCCAATATACAGCCCCACCAGGGGTATGAGGCATGCTGCTTTTCCCACAGCTTGACCAACATGACATTTTATCATTCCAGCCTATTTCTGCTAGCTTAATATGTGTGTAGGGCCTCACTGGAGACATTTTATTTTGAAGTTCTTCAAGTGATATGAAGCAATTTTTTTTCCATGTGGAATGATTCACTATTTTCATTTTAGGGACAAACAATTCATTCATATTTGACAGTTTTGAAGTGACAGGTTTAATTGCCTTCTGTATAATTGGTTCTCTAGGGAGAGAAAATAGGAGTGCTATTAGGTATTGGGTTAGGCTCAAAGTGTCAAGAAGATTAGCTGTATAGTTCTGAATTAGGAAAGTCATACATGGAGGCCTGGAACAGAAATACCAGTTGGCCCTGTTTAAGAAGACTAGAGAGCAGGAACATTCTGATTTGATGATGACAAAAATACTGGAATTTTGGCATAGGACAGCAGATCTTGCTTCAAAACGAAAGCAAGACTCTGGCCCCCTTGCCTCTTTGATCCTCTCACAATGCTACTTTCTTTCCTGAACATTTTCAGATATTCTTATTTCAGACAGACCACTCTGGTCTATAATAGGAACGGTTTTAGAATGGCCATGAAAGGAAGACATGTTATTTGAGAGCTCTTGGGGGAAGACCTGGAGGCAGCAGTCTCAGGAGACGTCAGTCTTATCTGTAAAAAGGTCAGCTTGGTCACAGAAAAGGGCCTTGGCTTGGTTGTGTTGGCCCTCTGTGGTTTATGATCCTCTTTTCAAGTAAGCAAATAAATAATTGCAGTGTTGGTTTGAGTTCCTATGGTGCCAAACACAAGATACATTGTTGCTCATGCAATACAGATCTTTTGTTTTGGACAGTGGTCTAATCTGTTGATTTTTTAAAAATTGGTGACTGTCCAACTTATAATTAAAATCAGTCTATCAAGCACTTGGAGACAAAATCTGAGGTTATTCTTTCATTCCTAGTTGTCATACTAATTTTTTACTTTTGTCATAAACATACTAATTTGTCACTTTTGTCTCTGTAGAATATTTACACACACACCTATCTCTATATAATTCTATCTAGACAACTCTACCTATATAATTCACATACTACAAAATTCACCCATGTGTACAGTTCAGTGATTTTTAACATATTCACAGTCATCACCACGGTCAATTTCAGAACATTTTCATTACTCCAGACAGAAACCCCAAACTCATTAGGAGCCACTCTCCATTTCTCTGCAATATCCCCACCCTAGGCAACCACAAATCTACTTTCAGTCTCTATAGATTTTGCAATTCTGGGCATTTCATATAAGGAATCATAGAACATGTGGTCTTTTGGTTTAGCTTATTTCATGTTTCCAAGGTTCATTTATGTTGTGGTGTATATATGTACTCTCTTCCTTTTTATTGTTGAGTAATTTCCATTGTGTGGATATACGACTTTTTGTTAAGTCATTCACCAGTTGATGAACATTTGGATTTTTTCCATTGTTTGGCCTTTATGAATAATGCTGCTATGAACATTCATGCGTAAGTTTTTGTGGGGAAGTATAGTTATATATATATTTTTTTTTGCGACAGAGTCTTGCTCTGTCGACCAGGCTGGAGTGGAGTGGTGCAATCTCTGTTCACTGTAACCTCTGCCTCTCAAGTTCAAGAGGTTCTCATGCCTCAGCCTCCCAGGTAGCTGGGATTACAGGCATGTGCCACCATGCCTGGCTAATTTTTTTGTATTTTTAGTAGAGACAGGTTTTGGCCATGTTGGCCAGGCTGGTCTCGAACTCCTGACCTCAAGTAATCCACCTACCTCAGCCTCCCAAAGTGCTGGGATTACACGTGTGAGCCACTGCATACTGCCAGGAGTATGTTTTCATTTCTCCTGGGTATACACCCATGAGTAGAATTGCTGGGATACATGGGAGCTCTGTTTAATTTTTCAGGAACCACCAGACTGTTTTCCAAAATGACTGCACCACTTTATATTCCTACCAGCAGCATATGCATGCCCCATTTTCTCCACATCCTTGTCAACACTTTTTATTGCCCCTCTTTCTTGTTACAGCCAGCCTAGTGGTTGTGAAATGGCATCTCATTGTGATTTGATCTGCATTTCCTTCACGGCTAGTAGAATACTTACTTTCTATCCTGGTATTTTCTTATACTTAAAAAAAATTAAGTAAACAAAATGCTGTAGAAAATTAAAGAGTATAGTTATGCTTGCCGCTACTGCTTTCTCTGAGGTTTCACACTTTGTTGCCTCATCATGTAAGGGGCTACCACTAGGATGAATGCGCTCCAGCCTTATTCTTCCAATCTTCTCTCCATTTGTCATTCAGAATCCTGGGAAAGAGAGATGCTTCTTCTGCCGTGAGTTATGTGCCCACCCTTTTGATTTGTGTTTCTGCCTACACAGTACACAGCATGCGTGCAGGCATCTTGAAAGGAAACTGGGATGCTCCTGAGGGAGAATAGATGCCAAAGTTGGGACAAGAACCCAGTTTCCTGCCTCTAGGTGTAACTCATTGCCAAGGTTGGGAACAAAGCCAACCATTTGAGAAAACTCATCATGCAGGGTAGTTAGTAAGTGCGCCCTAGCACACATTTTCACAGAGAAAACATAATAAGCTTATATATAATAAGCTTTGTTCATAATATTTAAGTATTACATTTACATATTATATTTAAAGTTACAATATTTTAAAATTTATATATACCCTTGTTGGACACAAAGCATGTTTAAAATGTATGACCTCATTTGATCCTCAGTAATCTCTGTTAGTTTCTAATTATATTCAGTAGTGGTATTGGTATTGTATGTTTTGGCCTCATTGTGGTTTAAATACACTTTTGTGCACTAGCCTGAGAATGCAACCACCGATACAACGATGTAATGAGAAAACGTGCTCTGAGCTCCAAACAAATGGCTAACAGATGAATGCTCAGAAGTCAACCTGTTGGTAAGCTGGGCAATCACTGGCCAGCAGTCACTTGCCAGCAGGTGTGAGCAGACAGTGGGGAACAGCTTCCTCTCATGTGTGTGGTTCCTGGCTCCCTGAAGTGTTGGCTGTGCATTGTCTCTATGAGTGATGGGAAGGATCACTCCACTAGGAGCAGTTTGGAAAAAATACAATAATTGGGAATTCCGTTAGCATCGGAGGTGCCTACAGGGAGGTAGAAGCATTCATATAACAGTTCTCTGGTGTTCTCTGCTATAGCAGCCAGCCAGCCAAATGGGTTCTGCTGCTTGAAATGAGGATGGCTGGATCAAAATGGCAGCTCAGGGTTTGAAGGATTCTAGTCAGAGACCAGACATCTTCACGTAGAGAGAACTCTGACTGGCTGGGGGAGAAGGAGTCAAATGCCCTGGATCTTTTTCTTGGCCTCAAAGTCCTCCTTCTTCTGCCATCATCCTTCCAGTATTGGGCAGGACCCTGACTGCAGGCATCATGGCCTCTGTGTACTTCTCAAGGGTATGCATTGTCACATAAAAACTACCATGTCCACTAACAGGCCACTGAGGGTACCTAAGTCAGTTCTGCTTATCGCCCAGCCAAAGCCTGTGTTTTATAACATAATATCAAAGATTGCATCTAAAATTGAGATGATTTCTTAAAATAATCGCTTCATTTTGATTTTTCTATTTTAATCCAAGGTATTCTTCAGCGGAAATAAGGAAACAGTTTACTCTCCCACCAAACCTTGGCCAGTACCATCGACAGAGCATAAGCACCTCTGGCTTCCCCTCTCTTCAACTAGTAAGTATGAATTCCAGGTTTACTTAGCCAACAGTCAAGTGCAGAAGTGCCCAGGGTATGTGTTTGCCTCCTGCTCCTTCGATCTTCCTGCCATCACCTCACATTCTCCAACCACCAGATGCTAACTCTGTGACTGCTTCTGGACATCAGATGATATCCCTCTCTTCCTCTGCCAACCTGGACTTAGGGTGCATAACAGGACTTATCAGAGCTGTGCTTTGGATGTCTCTGGACTAGCTTCCAGGCTACTCAGTCTCATCGAAATTATGGTTCATATTTGGGGGAGACAGGCTAGCTTGAAAACTTACCAAAATCATCTTCTTGCAAGTATAATTTACATATAATAAAATTCACACATTTTGGGTGTACAGTTTGGTGAATTTGGCAATTTAAAGTCACAGCCTTCACTCAGTCACGATGTAGAACACTTCCTTTATCCTAAAGAGTTCCCCAGTGCCCTTTGACCATCTCCTCTTCCCATTCCCAGGCCATAACCCCCAACTCACACAATCTC